CTTGATTCTAACCGTGCCACCGTAAAACGACGAAGAATCGGTGATGCCAGAAGACTCGTTACAAGAGGATACAAACTACTCTGTGGTTACTATGTTCACTGTGAGTACCCTTTTCGAAAGTGGGCACTATTACCGATTCACCCCTTTTGTCTGGGACGGAAGTTATTAATGCTTGAGAAGGGACACTTCTGACACTGCCGAGGTTGGATGGGACTCCGTATTCACTCCACGTCTCTTTTAAAGGTCGACATTCCGGATAGGGGACAGCAGGTGGCAACCTGAATCGGGCGAAGAATTGTGCCCAAATGTCCACATGCTCTCGTTTTTGTTGGGCCATTCCAAGTCCCATTGGATTTCGCTTATAAGAAGCTTCAGAGGACTGTTCGAATAACATCCTGGCGCTTCCTTCATTTCTTCGGCGTTTCGCATCCACCTAGCTTCCCGATCTGTATGGACATTCACTCTAACTGTGGTTGCAATCCGGGCGAACCTGTCGCAAGGTCTCCAGCCAAGTTACGTTTTTATCAGAGATTCACTGTTTGGCTGAGGTTGCACCGCGAGCAAGAATTGATTGGCGCTTCGGATATCTACAATGGGGCGAGATGGTTCAAGTGGTTGGAGCGCGAATTTGCTACCCGGAAGGCCCGTGGTTCGAATCGGAACGATTATTATTATTGCCATTATTATTACTGTTATTATTATGCCAGGTGATGGGTGTTGACTAAGTCCTCAATGACTAAGCTAAGCGTGTGCGTCATGTGTAAACTTGCAAAGAGCAATGAAAAGTCGCAGCGGACAAGCTCATTGTCGGAGCTCATGCAAGAATTCCAAAAGGAGTTGTGGATAGTTACCAACCTTCGCAACCAGTAACGGCAATATGGCCCGTTTCGTTTCGGGACTGGTTCGTTCGTGGGTACCGTGTAGTCAGATGGCGTCTGCTCTTACGGAAATATGGCTTAAAAAAAATCTGTGGTCGCAACACATCCGCAGCAGGCACTTTCCGTTGTAGGTGCATCTCGCATCCAAGCCAAGACGACCATCTAAATGGACCTCGGCAGCGCTACGTCTACCCACGTGAGCTTTCTTGTCACCAACAACTACAGCAACTTTTGAGCTCTCGGGTCATTTCGCGATTGTGGCATAGCAGTTAGGCACCGCAAGGGTACTACAGCTGGTCGATCTTTATTATTTCGTGATGGAAGCTGCTGTGTTCTGGATTGATTGCCAAAGTGGGATTTCATAGTATAGCTCATTGGGAAATAGACGCACACAAATCACTACAGTGCAATGAGGTGTAGTCTCTTCAGAAACACCGTGATGGACCATTTGCGAACACGGAGCGACAAGAACAGTGTGGGTCAATACACAAGGGGTCGTGTTTTACGATCTCATTCTGACGAGAGACAGATGGACCAAAGTCCTGGACGCCGGAATGGAGGGGGACTTCTTCAGGGGTACAGCACCATATCCTGGCAAACCTAGCCGCTTACTAGATAATATCATCATCATCATCATCATTGCACACCATCGGTGATCAATACTGATACTTTGCTTTGGAGATGCTAGAGGCTTTCGGTGGTGGCTGATTCGCAGGTGTCGTGGCCAGGTCTGATGAAAGACAAACCGGTTCTGGTGTATGGGCCTACAAAGGGAGAGTTGTTAATGAGGTAGTGGGGGGAGTGGAAGAAAAATTATAAGACACTAGTAGCATGTTTTCGTTTTTCCTCCAATGTGTGTGCAAAGGGTGGCCCCGCTGGTGATATTACACGCCGCTGGATGTGTAACTTTTTTTAGTTCGCTTTTACGCGGGCTTGGAAACTTTCATTGCACCCAGACCTATGTAGGAAAACGATTTGGTCTTCATCCAAATCCTTTGGCTCAAAAGCCTGAACGCAAGGTAGCGTTGTCTGGCGGAAAATCTCAGTCAGTAATCGGTGGACGAAGCTCATTGTTGCAGTTAGGTCGGCCGAGTCGTATCTGGATGTTTTATCCTTAGACCCTAAAGATCTCTGCGAAAATCCCTCGTACCCCTTTAGACGCCAGAGGCAATTTCGGACAGTAGTAGGTGGTTTCATGAAACAAAATGCCGTCACGTGATCATTGACGTCTTCAGAACAACGGGTCCTCTTGATCTGCCTCCATGCAGGTTGGTACAAGCAAACCAACTCAAACGGTTTTCACAGGAACAGATCTTTGTATGGACATTCGAATGTACTGCTTGTAACACCATCATGCGGCAGAGATTTTGGTAGATTTTCCCCTGAAGACTGTTTGCTACGAACGGTGGGGGTGCCCGAATAGCGCGTGCGTACGGGGGGTAAACTCGCTCACTTGGAAAACTGCACAAGATCTCGTAGACTGGCACAAGCTTTAACGTCAACACCTGTTGACAGCCCCTATCAACCTATGCATACAGTGCGATTGTCTTTCAGACACAGTTTGAAGACTTGCTGAACCAATCATATCCTTCTGGCCAATACATGCTTTAGGTACAAAAGGACTCGGCATCCGTCCATTACAATTGCCCGGTTCAGATAGGGATATTGATCAGTCAAGCTGAAGTACGTCGTTGCACATGTTCTTATTAGTTGAAATAACATTTAGAGGAGGAATCTCTGGCTCTTTGTTAATCGGTAGAAGAGTTCTCACTTCAATGGCTTTTTATACACAAGGCTGGGTAATTCCTTTACCTCCCGTCACGATCCAGTGGTTTCTTGTCAGACGACGGTATGGAATCATCAACGGAGGTCAAGCTGAAAACCCACTGAGCCAAGAGGAATGCTTGCGCATGCCTAACTTTTTGCCGGTAGTGACTTGCGGCAGCTTCTACGAAGAGCGCGGTCATGGGGCGAATGATGAGCAGATGAAATTGACGCAAAGCTGGGGGGAGGTGATGTTATCGCTCCGCTGGATAACCCCAACACACCCTGATGGATAAATGCAGTGTAGGAAATGCCTCTATCCATGTGACCGAACTATCATCAGCAATTAGTAAAGATAATCCGTACAGTTTGTATGGAAACTTGTTGAATGTGTTCGGTGGAGTATAAGCGTGGGTAGCCAGTCATTCTCGCCTTCCTGACTGTCGCGTGCCTTATATTGAATCAGCGGTTCTAAAGGCAAATTATCGGTGACTCGTGGCCTTAGTGGTCAAGTTGCGGAGTTCCAGAGGAAGCCTCATGCTGAATGAGGTGTCCTTGAATTCATCCGTACTTTCAGACTTGACAACGCACGCCTTTCTGTACTGTTCATAACGAAGTCTTTTTTCTGTCGATGGGAACAATGTCTCTTGTCAGAGTTTTACACTATTTGACTCCCGATCGTAGCGGAGAACGAACAATGGTGTACCGTAAATGATAAACGGCCTGGCGTCCTGGACACCGCTAACTGCAGAGCGTCCGGTTAGTTACTTTGGTTGGGTAATCAGTTGACTGTTGTGGACAGTAGGTTTCCCTTCAGCAATAAGTGCAAGGTTATCGAGCTGTGATGTCAATGTCCTGATGTGATAGAATGTCTAAGGAGAGCTTCAGAAGGCAATAGTTGGTTCGACTACTAAGGTCATGGTGCAGCACACTCTGTACTTTTGAAGCGATTTTAGAGACCAAATGTAGTTCTAGTGCCTGTGTGGGATTAATAAACAATCGAAAATCAAGTCCAACACCACAACTTTCACGTTCGTCACACGTTAATTTCATGCGTACTCGGTAGTTACAAGTGATGAGCTGTAGAATACAAATGTGTGTTTCAGTTTACCACAAAGTTCGCATCATTTTTAGACTGTTGTTGAGGGCCGTGCACAATCCTTGCGTTGGCTGTGGAGAGGCGGATGGCAGTCGCGCGTATGCGGTACCGAAACGTCACAATGGACAGCAGTACAAATTGTACTTAACTGCCACGTAGCCATGAGAGGTTTTAGTATTAGATGAATGGAAGATGGAGGGGTATAGACTTAGCATAGAGCGCCCTAGGTTCATGGGGATAGAGTAGGGTAGTTGGCCTTTCAATTAGCACTGAAATAAACACGTGAACACCGTTGTGTTATCAGACGGTTATCAGACTGCTTAGACATATCTACGAACCTTACAGAGCATAGGCCTACCGTAGACAAACTGAAGCTATTCATCCTCGCTCAGTCTTAAGAGGGTATCTACCATGGCACCGGCTGCTGACGTGTCGTGCACAAAGCACCACGTTTGTCCAGTCAACTACGTCAACCAGGAAATCATGAATAACCCAGTATCTCAGCTCGACAATTATCGTTTCCGTTTCGAGTTGACGTGTCCAAAACAGCAACTTCGTAGGTCTGGTTACGTAGACCACGTTTGTTTTCTTAAAATAGACTTGTTTCATACATCTGAAGCTCTTCATCAGTGTTGACGCTGGTGTTGAAATCAGAGCACCAACGGCGCATGCTCGCCATCATCTGCATTGTTAGCATCATCCAAGCTAGCATTGGCTTCTGTCTCAACGTGTTTGCCTGTTTTTGAGACCACTGGCCGCCATTTTCACAGCTAGAATCCACATAGTATCGAACGATCTAGTTCAGTTATAGCACCCTTTTGGCTCCTAACTGCCATGCCACCCGAAGGTTGCACGAGGGCTGAGATATTCCGGGTTGCTCAAGCCTAGACAGGTGAAGTCGAGAGGCAGAGGTCGGGTTCGAACCACGGACCTTTCGGTCAGTAAGTTCGCGCTCTAACCACTTGGGCCATCTCGAACGATCTAGCATGCGTATTTCGCGTTGCGGAGTAGGTATGATTAATGCGACGTCGATATCGATGAGAGTGCAGGTTGTTAAAACTACGTCAACTGCGTGGGGTTGCGGTTACAGTATAATTAAGGTGGCATTTGAAAACTCCCTATTTGATGTCTACATATGCCCAAAAATTGTCAAGTTTAATAGGACCAGTGGTGTCTTCTCTTAGATGGCTTTTCCCGCATAGTTCGTAAATTAAAGGTTGAGTAACTCGGTAAGTCTCGCCCGGTTCAATATTTTACAGTTCAACTGAAACGACGAATAAAAGAAGAAATCAAGCGTCTTCAACGGCGACGTCTCATTCCTCGCTTTCTTGGGACCCCTGCGCCTGCCACACAGACCACTTTCGGGAGTGAACTGCGTGAGGATAATGGTGAGTCAGAAAATTTTTACACTTACTGCCACTGTGTGCTTCGGTCTGATCCGACCTATTAAGGCTGCATGCTTCTCTTGGTCAAATGTATTGACATTCATAATTTGTGCTTGTACCGTTTGCAAGTATTTGCCAATCTCCGTAACTCCAAAATCAAGACTTTCGCTTCTGTTAGGCTCCGCAATAACCAATAGGCCTTACTCGCATGTGACTGGACCAGCATCGAAGCCGGATCTTGGTAAAAAAAAAATGTGGACCTTACAACCATTCATGTCCCAATATCCGCTAAATGACGGTTGCTAATAGTCGCCCTGGTGTTGTACATGTTTTTTATCCGTTTTCGGGCTGAGCCCCGAGGTATTACTGTCATTACGGCTTCTGGCCGAGAAGCTGTAGGTTCGAGTTCATCGCATTATTCTTTGGTAACGCGCGAATTGGTTTGAGCTCTCTGACCATAGGTAAAGTCTGTACCTGGGTTATTTGGCAGTTATGACAAATTGTTTGCTTTTTTCGGATGCTCTCTTTACTTGAGGGAAACAGATTCGCTGATTTCGAACGCTGCGCACCAACAGACATGCCTTTTTCTCCACAGTCGTTTTTGTTTCCTAATCACTCCCTGTAGTAAACTCGAGCACAGAAACTTCTATCGGGTTGCCAAAGTCTGTTTAGGGCTATCAAGATGCACTGAAAGCATGAAACTTTCGGTCAGTTTTACTCATTGAGCCCTTCTACGTTAGTTTATGATGTGATATAGGAAATAAGAATGTCCCATCAGCGTCATTTTGCCTGTATTTTCACAAGGTTTCGATGCGCGCCTCACTCGTTTATTCTTGAAACACTCGTGTGTTCACTGCTGAGGGTGTCAGAGCTTATGCTTTAACGCCCTTACAAGCCCAGAATTCATTCTCCACTATTTTGCGGTTCTTTCTTTTGAAATCACTGAAAAACTTCCGCATTTGTTGTCTTAACTGTATTCATCTAGTTCCCATGTTTTGCCTGTTTTTATTGAGGTTGTGAAACGACGTTTCGCTACTGCCCAAACGGCCTGTTTAAGAGCCAGTTGTCCATTGTGTCTATCGACGCACTCGCTATTAGCTTTCGTGACAAAGCATTTGCTGGAGCAGAACCGGTCTGGGTATCATCATCATCATCATCAACGACAGCATGACATCAGTGCTCAACACCAATGCTTCACTGCCGTACAGCCATGACTTATTTGAAAGCCTTATTGTAAAGAAAAGAATAAAGGTGGATGGGGGAGGGACTTAGTGCTAGCTTAACACAATCATTCCGAGGTGCCTACACCTCCAGAAATTCACTCAGGCAATCTGGACAGAAACTGACAACAAGAACGCCACTGACATCGGGTGCCAGCCATATCTTGTAGTGTCTCCAACCAGGCACAGCGAGGATCACGCGGTCCCCATCCTGGAAGAAGAAATCATGCCATCGACCGGGTCGCCTTAATCCCCGAATGCAGCAGGATGGGGAAACGAAATCAGACAGTAACTTGGTTCTGACACCATAGCCTGTTTTAGTGGCGCGCTCGCCCAGTCGTATAATAGCACTTCGTACTTTGAGGGTGAGAGACGCAATTCGAAACGCATGGTAACATCACTTAGGTTATTTGGTGTGTTTCTTATCTGAATGGAAACTGAAAGAAGTAGCGCAACATTGGCCAAATATTCAATGAATTTAAGGGCTTCCCAGGAAAGAAGGTCCAAAATTAGGGTGAAAGACAACAAAAGTTTCTCACTTAATTAATCCACTATTAGGTTATGGAGAAAAGGTGACAAACAGTAAGCCTGAAGGGCACCACTTTTGGTCATGTTGGGAGAGTATTCCCAGCAGACCTTAACGCGCCCGCAGGTATATAGTATGATGGTTGGAGGACTGTGAAGAAAATGCGTGGCACACCATTGAAAGATAGACATCCCCACAAAGCAGCGCGACCGAGCCGGACATTACGTTCAGACATGAGAACAACAATTATTGTTTTTCTGTGTGACGATGCTCCAGCAGTTGTCGTGAGGTAGAGATATGGTAAATGCAGCCACGACCCGAACGGATCTGGGTATAAGTCATTTGATCATTTTGCCAGTAAGCCGATAAATGACATCAGTGTGCGCATACATCAACACAAGTCCTGACTTTAGGCCCTATCCCGAAGCGTGTGCTAGTCAAGATTCCATACACTAAGAACGTGTAGTCTATGTGGAGATGTTATCGGTGCAATCTTTATAAGTTTCAGGTTATTTCTTAGACAGTAGAAGTCAACTGAAAGACACCTAACATGCGATTTTAGCCCTGATCCTTGCATCGGTACACTCAGAGAATAATAATCCCGCTCATAAACCGATTGTGCGCTTTCGCTAAGTGGGCAGTCAAGATTTATAGTTTTCAAGCAGACGCATAAAATGTTTCAAGGGAGATGCCGTGATCTTTCTTGGAAGCACAACTCCTGATAAAGAAATAACAGGCGTTTACCTAGAGTCTATAAACAACCATTGTGCGTTTCATTGTTCTATGCATCGGCACTTTTTTACAAGTTCATGAACCCTGTATTCACCTAGTCCGCTTTATTCGCAACGGTCGTACGACTTTTTCAGCGGCCGTTGCATCGTGTAGTGGGAGTTTCCGGTCCATGGCTCTCCGGTCCCCCCAACCAGATAGCGCAGATTCGGATGGTGACCAGTCACCAGTGCGTTCTAGCGAACCCACTTTCCAGAGCTTTCAGTCTGTTAACCGAACGTCAGTCGTGCTTTCCACAACGCCTTTATCTCCTCGGATGCCTTCCCCAGCCCGTACCCTCGATTCAGTTCCAATCTTTACACTTCCACAAGTTACTGCTCTTTGTGATCGGCTCATCAAAGAGCGCGAGGACGAACTTCGCCAGGAGTATGACCTTATTTTATCATGCAAATTAGCAGGTACGTTTTGTTCTTCAGATTGTCACTATTGTGATGCGCGAAGAAAGCCTCAGTTATTATAACTAGTTTACGGTAATTCTCTTACGTACGGTTATACGATTTTCCACGCCTTCATCTAATACTAAAGCTGCTGCTGTTAGAAGAGCCTGTGGCGTTTGAACGACTAAGCACCTTAATGGTGCATTTATCTCGCCTGTTGAGGTAAAAAAAAAACTGGCCACACAACATATTACCCAACTGTACAAATGTGCTTCGTAAAACCGGTTGCTAAAACAAAACATTTATTTGATGATGGCTGTACACTGATTGGTGGACATTTCGGAACACGTGATACATAACCCACACAACAATTACCCAACTGTACAAATGTGCTTCGTAAAACCGGTTGCTAAAACAAAACATTTATTTGATGATGGCTGTACACTGATTGGTGGACATTTCGGAACACGTGATACATAACCCAATTGTCACTCCCAGAGACACGACGTGACCCGCACAGTTTCTGGACATCATTTGCTTCGAGTAGGGAATATCTGAATCCAGTTAAGTTATGTGTTTGGATGAAAGCGCCTACTCGGAGAAACCACAATCATACCGAGGAGGAAACGGAAAGTTGCATGCTATCTTCACAGAGAAACAAAGACACTAATTTCCTAGCTCACCGTGCTTGCTTCTGTGTCTCTCAGCGTCAGCGGATCCGACTGCCACACTTCGCTGGGCATTGTTTTCTTGGTGAGGTGCTCTTTCGGATCATGCACCCTTTATCCAAGTAGCTTCCCTAAAGAAGCGTCTTTGGTACCTCACATCTTTTACAATATGAAACTTTACGGACGATCCATTCAGTGTCATCACTACAGGCGGTAAAATAAATGTGAGAAATCGGGTGCTTCTTGAACTAACTATCAGTCACCAATGTTTTTATTCGTCTCTGCTTTTTCTATGAGACAGTACGGTAGTCTTTTTTAATAGCAGACATCCCAGAGGGGGCGAAAACAAGTAATTGTGACGTGTGTTTGTTCTTGGGTTTGATAACACACCCGACATTTTAGCTTGTAAGAAAAGTGAGTTTAGAGTAACTAGTCCTTTTAATCAAGTAAAATAAGGGGAACTTACTACTAGCTTGCTCGACATAGTGCTTTGAAAAGGGTAACCACTAGCGATTAAAAAACATGGGATATTCCCCATTATTCTTGTCATTCTGCTAAAGGTGGTTTCGAGATTGCACGTACTCCTTCCGAGAAAGCAACTCCGGATGGAATATGGTGATGTGAGGGATGTTCTCATAAGGATCACTGTATGATGAGGGTGGACTACCTAGGCTTCAATCTTTTCCAATATCCAATCGAATGCACAACTCCTTTCTATGTATTCACGATGTCCACAATTGGGAGTCGTACGCCCCCTGGGATGGTTTTGGTGTGCTAGCACTAACTCCCTGCACTCCCCTGTTTTTACCGTTGGTTTACGGATTGTAGGTGCACTTACTGACTAGTTTGGGGTAAAAACTGCAACAATGATATAGCTCTCCCAGAGTGATAGGTTACAAAATTTGACCAGTGCTTTGTGTGCTTTTCCCTTGATAGTCCAGTCTCTGAGCATGCACCTACGAATGGGTCCACTTCTCCTCGTGGGGCAAGAAAGTCAGCAATCTTGGATGTCAGCTCCTGCTATTCCTACGTAGTGCCTTATTTCGATATCTTGAACGTTGGTCTAACTTAGCCCTTTGCGTCGCGCATCCGGTCGGGAGACATCATAGACAACCCAATCATCTAAAACTTGTTAGTGTCATTCGCACATTATTCTTACTTTACGGTATCATTTATCACTTGCATACACCTACTCATGTGTATTTTGGTTGTTGGTACTTTGAGATCATAGGTTCTAACTTTTCTTTATTTCTGACTACAGCCGTACTTATGAACTTGATGTATCATCTGCTTGTTTTTCGATAGAGCAATATGAAGCTTTTTTGAAGTTCAACCACGATCAGTTGCAAAGTCGATTTCAGAACACGCCCATGAGCTGTAAGTCAACAGTAACCACTGGATAATAAAAATCCGATGTTCATTCAAGCCTCTGACGTCAACGTTTACCTCTGAAGCACTGACATCGGTTATTATCATTATGCTAGTATCATTAGTTGTCTTTTGAGCTCTCCTCAGTGTTTGTTCTTATGTCCATTTCATGTGTTCTTTTTTGTGAGGGGTGTCCTGTCGTTTCTGCTTTGTTTCCCACTTGGCCAGTTACTTGATATGTTAAAGTACATGCACCATTAGTTCACTTGAAGTTGTTCCTTTCCATTCGTTTTACCATCTGTCCACTCATATATTCATCCAACAACGTCAACGACAGTTTTTAACAGTTTCTGCGTAGTCCGCATCATTGAGCTTAGCATTTCTATAGGAGTCCTTACTTTAAATGACCACAACAAATCTCCTGGTCATCCACGGGTGAACGTGAAGTCTCTCCAAAGAACGTTCATCCATCTTCTTGGCGGTTACAGAATTTATGCAAGGCTCCTCACGGAAAGCCCTTCAGTCGATTGCTGGGTCTTGACCTAATAACTGCCACTGAGTACACTATGGAGACATAGAGACCATTCACCCAAACTTTAAAGACAGCTGTACTGGAATCTGATTGTTGCGCGGATCGATCGTTTGTCCAGTTAGATGTTCAGGAGCCCCAGCGCATTTTGCCGCCACCCAACCAGATGCATAATCATTGTCAGCTGTAATAACCGCGTACTCGTCGTACAGTGGTTGCAGTTGCCGCAGTTTCGTTCACCGATGATTTGGGGGAGAGGGGTTAGGTAGCTGCGCATTGCAGGCGCGAGCTGGTAAGTTGGTGCATAAATCCAGCACTCAGTGGGGTG